CACTTTGAAAGTCTTTTATTCGTTTACTCGCGAGTAGTCGAGTATTTCTTGATTGCATCTAAATCATGTTAGATGGATTGTAATGTGGTCTTTGTGTCTTTTAGGTTTCATTGGTGATTGAGAAGTGGGCGTTATTTTACGTGTATAGGTGAGTGTTCCTTGTTTGATTTGTTTCCTGATTATATGGCTTGTTTGAATGATTGATAGCATGTTAAACGCTTTCAATGATTGCTAAAATGATTTTGAGGCGAGTGTGTACTTTACCGCACTTAGCCTAAATGATTGTGAAATTTTAATGATTGAGCGATTGAAATGTTAATTGTGCATGAATGTAAGCCTTCGGGCTGAACTGGCCATTGCCCCTTGTTACCGGTCGTCTCGAGCCAGAAGCGGACTCGGTCGGGCGACAAGGAACTTGGGTGAACGTTTCGGTATACTCGAGTATTACCCTGTAGGTTGGTGGAGCCTGGCCAAAAGCCAGGGACGGGGAGAATGAATGAATGAATGAGTGAATGAATGGACGAGGGGTTTTACTCATGCAAAATGCATTTTTCAAATGATTGAAGGTAGGGGAAAGAAAGGAGAATGAATGAATGAACGATTGAACGAATGGCTCCTTGTGAGCACGTATCCTTTTCATGAATGTGGTTACCGCTTTATTTGTACTTGTATCTTGAATTGTTGTTAAATGTACTGAATGCATTGATTCTCTTGTTGACTATGTGTACGGAACCTCACTGAGCTTTCCAGCTCATTCCTTTAGTTTTTTTTTGTTTTCCTTAGCAGGGGAAGACGTGCAAGGATGGAAGCTACGTATAGTCTAGCCGAACTAGTACTTTTGGCTCTTTTGTTATGGTTCTCGCCCCAATGTTTGGTGGGCTGGTTGTATGGAGAACGGAGAACCTTTGTACCTAGTTGTATTGCTTTTGGGATGGATATGTATATAAGTTTACGTTTAAGTTTGAAATTATTGATATTTCGTTTGTTTTATGGACTTTATTGTCTTCTCCTATAGCGACTGACTGAGTCCCGGCGAGAGTTGGGCAGGCGGTCCGCCGATACCCTGGGGTACGTCCTAGGGAGAAGTGGGGCCGTTACAGTTGGTATCAGAGCCTGTTTCGCGTGGTCTCTGCGCGTAGTGAGCCTGGACTGAGTGATAAATAGGTATGAAGGATTAAGTGCTCGCTCGAGCATAAGCTATGAACTGTGAATGTTATAGGTCTTAAATTTTTCTCGTGGAATGTAAGGACCATAGATAGGTACGTCTGGGAGGAATTTCGAGTGTAGATGGTTTACTCTTGGGACTGGCCAGCTCGAGAGGTGAATTATCTTATTTCGGATTCTCGTACCCGAGTACTCCAGAGTTGAGGCGATGTTAAGTATATGAGATTTATATTTTGGGACCATGAACAGGCTTGGTCCGACTAGGATGAATATAAGAGGTTGACGGATATCTGAATTGAGTAGTAAGTGACGTGAGGGATCGGACGGGGTTACCTTAGCTGAGACTGGGACGACACATCACCTCCTCGTTTGATTCGCCATACTCCGTACATGACGTTAATTGGTGCATTTGAGCATTTGACGTTAATTGCTCATTATTTGCCTGACTTGATACGCACGTGTGTAATTGATTTGATATGGGGAGTGCTATGTGCAAATATGTTACTTGCGTATTTGATACCTCGATTTTGTTGCTTTAGTCATCTTATCGTCTATATTCATTAAATTAACTTTTGGAAAAAAAAAGAGAGAAGGGAAAAATATATCTATGGACGGGAGACGTAGTCGTGGACGTGGTCAAGGTCGCAGAACTAAACGGACCCCAGAACCAAGAGCGGAAAGGGAAACGTCCGCCGAACAAGAACAAGAACCTAGAGTTGAGGCCGGAGACCAAATGGCGACGGCAATTCAACAAATGGCAAACATTTTGACACGGTTGGTGGACCAACAGGCCAAATACCTGTAAATCAACCCCGGAACCCTGAGATAGGCGAAGATAAGGCTCTGGAGAGGTTTCAGAAGTTTGCACCTCCAAAATTCGCTGGAGGGCCTGATCCGGATATCGCTGAGCAATGGTTAGAGGTCATGGTGAATATATTCACAGCCTTAAACTACACCGAGCAAAGGCAAGTGAACTTCGCAGTGTTTCAATTTGAGGGACCGGCCCGAGCATGGTGGAACGTAATTCGAGCAAAATGGGAAAGGGAACGGACCATATGGACCTGGGCGAACTTTACCAGAGAATTTAATGAGAAGTACCTCCCACCTTTAGTCCAAGAAAGGAGGGAGGACGAATTTATTGGACTACGCCACGGGACATTAAGTGTGGCGGAATACGAAACGAAATTCACCAAACTATCCAAGTTTGCCTCAGAATTAGTAGCCACGGAACCGAGAAGAGTAAGGGGATTCATACAGGGATTGAACTTGGACATTCAAGAGGCGTTGGCAGCAGCGCAAGTGAATACGTTTACGGAGGCCCTTGAGAAGGCTCAACGAATCGAGAGAGCCAAGGCACAAATAAAGGCCTCCCAAACTCGAAAAAGAGGTGCGTCGGGCAGTGGATTGGAAGAGTTTAGAGAAATGATGGCACCTTCTAAAGTACCAAAAGTAAGCCAGTTATCCTATCCGCCATGGACAATAGGGGCAGTTGAAGAGAGGTCTACTAAAGGAAGTCAAATTGGACCCAAGGAGATTTCCCAAGATAGTCAAAAGATGACCTCTCCCTTGATTTGCGGTTACTGTGGAAAGGCCAACCACACCGAAGATGCTTGTTGGCGAAAAGGGGGAAAATGTTTAATTTGTGGAAGCAGTGAGCATCAAGTGAGCAATTGTCCGAGGAGGCATCCACGTGAGGGTAGTACTCAGTCACAAGATGGAACGAAATCAAAACCAGTGAAAGAAAGAGGGAACCGAACCAATATACCGGCCAAAGCATATGCATTAGACAACCGAACGGTTCCGGACTCGCCTGAGGCTAATGAAGGTAAAATAAAATAAAAAAAAAAAAAATTTCGAGGACGAAATTTCCTAAGGGGGGGAGAGTATGAGAACCCGTAAAACCCTAATATTTTTCCTAGGGTTTATTTCCCCTTAATTGCATGTTTTCTGCATTTTCTGGCTTAGAAATATTTTCTTAGTAGTTTTTAAGAGCAATTATAGTTTTTAGATGATTTTTCTAGCATTGGTGAATTTTCAGAAAATTAAGAATATATATTGGATGTGGGACCCACTAGTGTGAAAAGTTCGGAAAAATTTGGCCAATAAGGTTAAGTTTCGGATACTGTGAAAAATTTATCGGGTGTTAAGAGATAAGTAGTGTGTGTGAAGTGATTTATGTGAGAGAGAAAAGAAAGATAAGAATGCATTTAATGAGGTGACAAGTGTCACCTTCTCATTGGTTGGACTTTAAGAAACACTATTCACATTCTTGACTTTTTTTGACCAAAGGATTAAATATCAAAAAAATTCACAAAAATTACCATTTTCTTCTCCTCCATGGCCGGTTCTCCTTGAGCAAAGAAGGAAGGAAATTCTTCAACTTTCAAGCATCCATATGCTTCAATCTTCTACAAACAAAAGCTTAGATTAGTTTTACTCCATAAAATCTTTCCTTTTAGTGATAGTAAGTGTATTAGTGAAGTTTGTTTGAAGGTCTAAGGTGGCCAACCTCTCTACATCTCTTGTTACTTGGTAAGTGATGCTTGAACACCCTACTACACCTAATGATGGTTATATTATGCTTAGAAGTGGCTTGAGGGTTGGAATATGTGATTTATTTCTTGATTGGAAGTGTTTTGGTGAAGTTTTCCATTTTATGATGAATTTTCTGGTTTTATATAAATGGGATGTTGTGGCCTTGTATAATGAATGGTAATGGTTTAAAATGACTCTAGTAGGTGTGAATTGTGGTTAAATGCAATCAATTTTGGACTTGGATGGAAAAATGGAAAGTTAGGGTTCATAAACCCCTAATTCTGTCCGGTTTTAGATCATAGGCTTAGAGGCCGAATTGGACTTTGCTCAAAACATGAAAGTTGTAGGTATTGATGTGTTTAAGGTGCCTGTAAAATTTCAGGGCATTTGGATTAGCGTAGAGTGAGTTATGATGAAATTACTGTAGCTGTTCTGCTTTGGCCAGAATGCGAAAACTGAGTTTGTATTTGGCTATTTTGACTGGAATTGGTTTGGATTTTGAAGTTGGTGTCTTCTGATGAAATGTAGCTGAATGTCTAAGATAACATATGTCTTTGGAATTTCGGCATTTGGACTTGTATAGACTGAGTTATAGTAATTACAGTTTTGGGTGATTTGCAAACCTGTTTTGGGAATTCTGGTATAGTATTTTGCATATTTGACCTAGTTGCGTTAGGAACTGGACTGAGTGACCTTCTATATTGTTGTAGCCCTGTATCTTAGCTTCGAAACGGTGGGTCTTCCACCCTAATCCAATAATCGTAGTGCCTTTAGTGCCATTTCCGTAAAATGTTGTCACGCATTGTTTTATCTGAAAATGTTTTTAGCTTGTTTTTTGTAGTTCTTATTCTGGCCTAGATCAAATGTGAACACAGCCATTGTTGAAAGTGATTCAGCTTCTGTAGAATTTCCCAAAGCAGATTGGGAATGTTTGATTGAGCAAGTAATAAAGCCATTTTATGTACGCCTGATTGATCTTCCTGTGTGGCAGCTTTTCTCTGGGAATCTTGTCAAGGCTGAAGAAGGAATGTTTCTTTCACAACCTGGATCTGGTGTGGGTGGTAGCTTAGTTGGTACAGCAACTGTTTGCGCATTTGTAAAAGAACATTATCCAGTCTTTTCAGTTCCATGGGAATTGGTGACAGAAATACAGGCAGTGGGTATTACAGTGCGAGAGATCAGGCCTAAAATGGTGAGAGAGCTTCTTCGTGCTTCCTCGACATCCACTCTGTTGCGCTCGGTTAATACTATCATTGATGTCCTTGACTATTGCTTATCTGATATCCAGCTTTTAGATCATCTGAGTCTTGTGATCAGAGTTCATTTGCAGGCATCAATAGCATCAGTTCTGCTTCTGCTACCACTGAAGGTGAAGATAGCAGATCTTTTTCTTCATCCAACCGAAATATGCGCAGTCTTTATAAAACATCTAATTCAAGCACAAGCAGTTCAGGAGATGCTCTTGAGATGATGACTAGTCTTGGAAAGGCATTGTTTGATTTTGGCCGTGGAGTTGTTGAAGATATTGGTAGGACAGGTGGCCCCTTATCTGAAAGGAACAATTTTACTGGCGGTAGAATATTTCGTGTTCCTGATGATGGGGAATACAAGTATCGATCTGTAGCTGCTGAACTCAGAGGCTTGCCCTGTCCAACTGCAACAAACAATTTAATTAGAATAGGAGTTACTGAAGTTTGGGTGGGAAACAAGGAGCAACAACTATTAATGAGTTCATTGGCAGCCAAATTTATCCATGCAAATGTACTAGAGAGAACAATTTTGTTGAATATTTTCTCCAATTACACTCTTCAATCATTTTTAAAGCTGCAGAGTTTCTCATTTTCCCTACTAGCAAGTAACATGCGATATCTTTTTCATGAAAACTGGGTCAATCATGTAACCGGCTCAAACATGGCACCCTGGTTCTCGTGGGAAAACATTGCAAGCTCTGGTACAGAGTGGGGCCCTTCTCCTGAATGGATTAGACTGTTCTGGAAAACTTTTAGTGGTTCACTGGAAGACCTTCCTCTTTTCTCTGACTGGCCTCTTATTCCTGCTTTTCTTGGTCGACCAGTTCTTTGTCGTGTAAGAGAGCGTCGTATTGTCTTCATTCCACCCCTAGTAGCTGGTTCTAATTCTGTTGATGCTAGTGATGAGATGAGCTTAACTGAAAGTAGCACATCAGGGTTATCGCTTGATACAGATCTGGCTAATCCCTATACTTTAGCTTTTGAACATTTTGAGAAAAAGTATCCTTGGTTATCATATTGCTGAACCAGTGCAATATTCCTGTATTTGATGCTACTTTCATGGATTGTGCTGCTCCATCCGACTGTTTACCTGGACCTGACCAATCATTGGGTAAGGTTGTTGCATCCAAACTTCTTGTAGCTAAACAAGCTGGCTATTTTCCGGAAATTACTTCCTTTCTGGCTTCAGACCGTGATGAGCTTTTCAGCTTATTTGCTTCTGAGTTCTCTGATAATGGATCAGATTATGGAAGAGAAGAGCTTGAAGTATTACGTGAGCTACCTATATATAAAACTGCTGCTGGAACGTATGCTAGATTGGTAACCCAAGATTTTTGTATGATTCCTTCAAATACATTCCTAAAGCCGCATGATGAACGATGTTTATTTCACACCACAGATTCTAGTGGGGGTGCTTTATTGCGAGCTCTTGGAGTGCCCGAGCTGCATGATCGACAGATTTTTGTAAAATTTGGATTACCAGGGTTTGAACGAAAATCAGAGTCTGAACAGGAGGATATTTTAATATACCTTTATATGAATTGGCAAGATCTCCAACAAGATCCTTCTATCATCGAAGCTCTTAAGGAGGCTAATTTTGTTAAGACGGCAGACGAACTTTCAGTGCACCTGTCTAAGCCCAAAGATCTTTTTGATCCTGGTGATGTTTTACTGACATCTATTTTTTCTGGGGTCAGAGGCAAATTTCCAGGGGAAAGATTTATTTCAGATGGATGGCTTCGCATTTTGAGGAAAGTAGGACTTAGAACTTCAACTGAAGCTGAGATAATTCTTGAATGTGCAAAAAGGGTGGAGTTTCTTGGAGGTGAATGCATGAAAATTACGGGAGATTTGATGACCTTGAGACAGATATTTCGAATGGGCAAAATGAAGTCTCTTTTGAAATTTGGTTAATGGCTGAAAGTCTAGCCAAAGCTGTATTCTCAAACTTTGCAGTCCTTTATAGCAACAATTTCTGTAATCTCCTAGGTAATATTACTTGTATTCCTGCTGAAAAGGGATTTCCAATCATAGGTGGAAAGACAAGCGGCAAAAGAGTGCTCTGTTCATATAGTAAAGCTATTGTGATGAAAGATTGGCCACTTGCTTGGAGCTGTGCTCCCATACTTTCTAGGCAGAGTGTTGTTCCACCTGACTATTCCTGGGCTGCACTCCATTTGAGGAGTCCTCCATCTTTCCAGACAGTATTGAGGCACCTTCAGGTAATGTGCCATGTGCTTGTTACTACATATGGTAAAATGGATAAACAGAAATATTTACTTAACAGTGGATAAGATTATTCCAAACCAATTAATCTACTAAATAAATGGATCTAAATTAGTAGGATTTTGTAATCCATCCATTTATCCATTTGTTCTCCCAAGTCCTTAAGCTATTTGTCCTCCCCAGGCCATACACTCACCCAGACTCATTCAGTGGTACAGACGCATATTTGCCACTCATCTTTAGCACATACACAGTGACTCTCAGAAAGATATGCAAAAGAAATAGTCAGGAATTAAATCCAGACAAGGGCATACTTTAATTCACCTGTACCAGCTTTGGGTCCTGTGTCTCAATAACAACTCACTTGCTGGTCCTATTCCTGACCTTGCCCAACTTGTCAACCTCAAATGGACTCTTAATTGACAAGAAATACTTTTCCTCCTTTCCTCTCTTTATTGGTCCAGTTTCATACTTATTTTGGTAATTATGTTTACACGATTGGCATGATAATTTATTTAAATCTACCAGCTTTACTCGGTTAATATGGTTATCCTTGTAATGACATTAAGATTTTAGTCATCCAAATCCATTTAAACTTCGTTTATTTGAATGGATAAGTTGATGTGAATTCAAATTGCTGCTTTACCTTAGTCTCATGATATCTTTCATTACTTTATGGGATATGTTGGTTCTTTTTGACTTCTGCTTCAGGCCATTGGGAAAAATAATGGTGAAGACACACTTGCTCATTGGTCAGCTGCACCTGGTTCGAAGACTATTGATGAAGCTTCATTTGAGGTTTTGAAATATTTGGAAAATGCCTGGGATTCTCTATCTTCTTCAGGTATTACCTATACTTTTTTTAGCCTGAACCAAGCTTATACCTTTTGTATTATGGTGCTTAAGAAAACAGTTCATGATATTGGATAGAGGGCTCTCGCTCATTTTTTATTTCCTTTTCTAGTTTTTATATATCATCAAGCAATCTTTGATCAATATGCTTAATTAGGTTTTCTAGCTTCTCTCTCTTTTTCATTTTATGTGTGATTTCAGTCCCTTTTATAGTTGTTTTCACGTTCCAATATTGGAATACTTTACGTCTGTCTCTTATGACTGCCTTGCATTGTAGAAGGTTTATTCATCTAAAGCATGTGCAAAGCAGTCAAAACCTCTTTGCTCAGCACTAAAGACCTCAGGAAAATATTAAAGGAAAGAAGAAGAAGAAGAGGACGACTTTACATTTTGATCCCTAGTGATCAGGAGTCTCAGTCCTGGACTCCTCACAGCTTCTGCACATGCTAATTGGGTCATATGACCAACCCTTTTTTTTTTTTTTTTTTTTTTATCTATAAGAAAATAAACAATTAAGAAAAGGAAAGCCCATCTTCCTCAGAAAAATGGGGTATACTTAAAGTTTTCACTAGTGCAGTGTACTAAAAGTTTTGCCTTATAATTATAAGTGACTGAAGAGTAATAAGTAATCAAGAAAGTGCTAGCTATCATTAGATTTTGCAGTTAGCCTCTTGCTGTTGGGTTGGCTTTGTTCTTCAGGCATCACATTTTATTTGGACAGAAAGAATCGGAAACAAGAAAAGAAATAGAGATTTGTTTGGGAGTTTAAGTAGGAGAAAGAGGAAATGAAAGAGAGAGATTGAGAAAGCTTTTTGGCAGGCTTACATCTTTCCTATCATTTCCTCTCAAAAGTGAGAAGAAATAGGGAGAAAGTCAGAGTTTCCTTAACAAAATGCGTTACAATGTCGTATTTGATCTACTGTCGAACATCTAGATATTGAAATTTGAAGGGCAAAATTGTAAAGAGACCTACTACTAATCTTTTCTCTTTTTTCTCAAAATTCCCAAACACATAATAAAGTTGCAAATTTTCTCTTCTTTACTTTCTTTTATAATTGAACAAAAAGAAAACTAAATTGTTCTGTTATCTCTTTTGTTCTAGGCTCTGTACACCATTTATACAAATGGAATTTGACTTTTGTCAATTCCATGATATCTGTAATCTCCTAAAAATTAGGAGCTAATTTATTCTATCTTAAAATACATTAGGAGTAAATTATTCTATCCTAAAATAGAGCAGAAATCATGGGATATATATAGAATTTATAGCTGTACAGAAAAGATATTCTAGATTTTTAACACTCCCCTCAAGATGGTGAATAGATATTTTCCATTCCCATCTTGCATGTAATGTCTTCTAAGTTGGAAGTTGGCATTCCCTTAATTAAGACATCTGCCAATTGATTATTTGATGCTATATATGGAGTGCAAATCATGCGCTGTCCAGCTTTTCTTTAATAAAATGTCTATCTACTTCGATGTGCTTTGTGCGATCATGTTGCACTGGATTGTGTGCAATGCTGATGGCAGACATTTGTCGCAATAGAGTTTCATAGGTCCTTCCCACTTGATTTTAAGGTCATCAAGTATTATTTTGAGCCATAGCAATTCACAAACTCCACGAGCCATAGCTCTAAACTCTGCTTCTGCACTTGATCTTGCAACAATCGATTGCTTCTTACTCCTCCATGTCACTCGGTTCCCACCAAGAAATGTACAATATCCTGAAGTTGATCTACGATCTACACCAGAACCTGCATAATCAGCATCAGTATATGCCTCCATAATCAGCATCAATATATGCCTCTATGAGCAATCCTTCATTTTTCTTGAACAAAATTCCTCTACCCTGTCCTTTGAGATAGGATATAATTCTGTTGACAGCCTGCAAGTGTTTCTCTCTTGGTTCATGCATAAATTGGCTTACTACACTTACGGCAAATGCTATGTCCGGCCTTGTATGGGACAAGTATATCAGTTTCCCAACCAACCGCTGATATCTTCCCTTATCTACTGTACTATCATCTTTCTCTTCATTCAATCTCAAGTTAGGCTCAATGGGTGTGCTTGCTGCCTTGCATCCAAGATTGCCTGTTTCTTTAAGCAAGTCTAAGACATACTTTTGTTGGGAAACAAAGATGTCTTTACTTGAGTATGTCACCTCAATGCCTAAAAAATACTTCAGGTTCCCTAGTTCTTTAATTTCAAACTCCTTTGCTAAGCACTTTTTGAGTGTTTCTCTTTCAATTGGATCATTTCCGGTGATGTTGATGTCATCTACATAGACAAGTAGAGCTGTAACACCTCCTTTTGAATGTTTTATGAACAAGGTATGATCTCCTTGACTTTGTTTGTATTGCATTGCTAGCATCACTTTAGTAAATCTTCCGAACCAAGCCCTTGGCGATTGTTTTCATCCATATAAAGCTTTCTTTAACCTGCACACTTTCTTTTCAAAAAACATTTCATTGAAACCCAGTGGAGGTTCCATGTACACCTCTTCTTCTAAATCCTCATGTAAGAATGCATTCTTAACATCAAATTGCTGTAAACACCAGCCAAAGTTAGCGGCTAAAGACAAAAGAACACGCACAGTATTCATTTTTGCAACGGGTGCAAAGGTCTCTTGGTAATCTATCCCATATGTCTGTGTATATCTTTTTGCGACCAACCGAGCTTTATGCCTTTCTAATGAATCATCAGCTCTATATTTCAAAGTAAACACCTATTTACACCCCACTGTTTTCTTTCCTTTAGGCAGGTTTACAATTTCTCAAGTCTTATTTCTCTCTAGGGCATTCATCTCCTCTTTCATAGCTTGTAGCCAGTTCTTATTTCTAAGTGTCTCTTGTAGTGTTTGTGGGATTGAAATGGAGTTGGTGGTAAGAAAAGTTTTATGTTGTGGAGGGTGTCTATGGAAAGACACGAAATTTGAGATTGGATGCTTAGTGCATTCTCGTGTTCCTTTTCAAACAGCAATAGGCAGGTCTAAATCATTAAATTCACAAGGAGCAGAGTCAGATTGAACAAAGGAACAGAATTTTCAGTACCTGATTGTGGTTTAGATTCTTGGATTTGCACAGGTTCAGAAATATGAACTTTCTTTCTTGAGTAGACCTTGAGTGGTGTAGTTGGAGTTAAATCAATTTTTTTCTCAGCTCCAAGATCAGGTTCAATTTCTTTACTGGCATGTTCAACTTCAAATTTAGGTTCAGGTTCACTGCTAGCATGTTCTCCTTTGGAATTTGGTGTATTACAGGTTTGAAAGACTTCAAGTTTAGTGTAGGACTTTGAAGATTAAGGAGAAATTCCTTATCTTCCCAAGAACTCTCCCCCCGGAGACGAGGATTGTTACTTTGAGAGTAAGGTTTTCAACAAATGTAACATCCATGGAGGTAAAAAATTTTTTTGAAGGTAGATGATAACACTTGTATCCTTTCTTTATGTTTAAGTATCCCACAAAAATACATTTTAAAGCTCTTGGATCAAGTTTCCCTCTTTGGTGTGCATGAACATGTACAAAAGCAACACAACCAAACACTTTTGGTGACAATGTGCAAGAGACATTAAAATCGGGTAAAAAAACAGAAAGAGCAGCAATGGGACTCTGACTATTTAGTACTTTGGAAGGTACTCTATTTATCAAATGTGCAGGAGTTAAAACAGTCTCCCCCAAATGGTTTTTGGAACTTTATATTGAAACAAAATTGCTCGAGTCACATTGAGTAAATGTATATTTTTCCATTCAGCAATCCCATTTGGTTGGGGTGTGTCTGCACAAGATGACTCATGTATTATACCCTCTTTTTGGAAAAAAAATGAGAGAATTTGATTTAAATAGTCTCTTGCATTGTAGATCTTAGATCTTACTTTTTAATCAAACTTCCAAATTGTGTACAAGCCATTTTATGAAACATTGTAAAAATACTACTTACTTCTGATTTTTCTTTCATAAGAAATAACCAAGTAGTTCTAGTACAATCATCAATGAATGTGACAAACCATTTTGCTCTAGAAATACTAGAAACTCTACAAGGCTCCCAAATATCAATATGTATCAAAGAGAAAGGTCTAGTAGATCTTGTATTACTCAATGGAAATGATAGTCTATGATGTTTAGCAATTTCACATGTATCACAATGAAAACTACTAACATCTTCATTCTTAAAAAGTGAAGGAAACATGCTTTAAGTAAAATAAAAGATGGATGACCAAGACTGAAATGATGAAGCCAAATTTCAGATTTATTATTTGAGGAGCAGGTGAGGGATAACTGATTATTGTTCTTCTTGTTGCCACTCATTTCCTCAAGGTAATAAAGCCCATCATTCGCCTTAGCAAGTCCAATCGTCCTCCCCGTAACCAAATCCTGAAAAACACACATGAGTAGAATAGAGAGTTACTTTACAGTTCAGATCTTTGGTAATTTGATGGATGGATATGAGATTGGAGGACAATTTTGGGACATGTAACACATTATTTAGGGACAACGGATTTGATAGATTTGCTGCCCCTTGGCCTGCAATAGTTATAGGAGATCCATCCGCAACAGTAATTTTTCTATTTCCAGGACATGGGTTGTTATGTTATAAATCTGATTGGGCTGTGAGACATATGGTCAGTAGCTCCTGAGTCGATGACCCAAGAGCCTAGAGAAGACATGTTTTAGGCACTTAAAGCATAAAGAGTTAAGGTACTTACCTGATTGAGCCAATGAACACGTACTAGAGGACTTTTCAAGGGAATTTAGAAGGTTTCTTAGCTTTTCGATTTCTTCTTTCTTGAATTCTCCTATACCAACCTGGTTGGATTCTCCATCAGTTAAGTGGGCTTTTCCTCCTTTGAATCCTCCTTTTTGACTAAGGACTTGTTCCTTCCCATGGAGTTTGAAGCAATCATCTCGCGTATGGTGTGGTTTTTTGCAGTATGTGCACCAAATTGTGTCTTTATTTGACTCTGTACGCCCATTACCTATCTTTGCTTATTGTTTGACTTTGTAGAAATCATTGCGAGCCTTCTAATGTTTTAGGCTCCAACATGACTTCTCGCCTATTCTCTTCAGCTCGGAACAATGATATTGTTTCATTCAGAGATGATAATCTTTCCTTCCCCAATATCTGGACTCTGACCTGATCAAATTCCGCATTCAGACCTGCAAGGAAGTCATAAACTCTATCCTTTTCGATAAAGTTTTTCAAGGTGGCTATATCTTCACTACACAACATCTGAACACACCGATATTGGTCCAGTTCCTGCCATAGATTTTGCAGAAGATTGGCATATTGAGTAACAGAAAGGTTGCCTTGTGTAGTGGCTGATATGTTTGTTTTGATCTCATAGATTAGGGCAGCATCTCCTGCCTTTGAATAGGTCTGTTGAATAGTAGTTTATATATCTTTAGCTGTTGGTAGGAACATGCAAGTATCGCTTATTTCAGGTAACATGGAGTTCCACAGCCATGACGTGACCATAGAATCCTCTTCATCCCAAGCAGCGAATTTAGGATCTCCCTTTTTCGGTACAGTTCCAAGCAAGTGGCTGATTTTGCCCTTTTCTTTGAGAAATGTTTGAACAAATAGTGACCACTTCAAATAGTTTTTTCCGTTGAGCCTATAGGCTGCCTGGATACTCTGCAAATCTCCGGCCTTTGAATAGGTCTGTCGAATAGTAGTCCATATATCTTTAACTGTTGGTAGGAACATGCAAGTATCGCTTATTTCAGGTAACATGGAGTTCCACAGCCATGACATGACCATAGAATCCTCTTCATCCCAAGCAGCGAATTTAGGATCTCCCTTTTTCGATCCAGTTCCAAGCAAGTGGCTGATTTTGCCCTTTCCTTTGAGAAATGTTTTGAAAAAATTGCGACTACTTCAAATTGTTTTTTTCGGTTGAGCCTGTAGGCTGCCTGGATACTCTACAAATCCCCTGTTTGCGGAATATTTGAGGGCTCTTCTGATTTGGTATTGGAGTTGATTTCTGATGTTTTAGTTTCAGACATGTTGGAGGTTTCAAAGAAAAATTGGCAATGAAGGCCTAATGAAAAAATCAGCAATGAAGGCTGGAAATTGCACTTGGCAATAAAGACTTGAAAAGAAGAAAGCACTCAGCAATGAAGGCTGACAAGAAGAGGTCCCAAGAGCAAAAGCTTTGATACCATGAACAAAATGAAAACTGAATTGTTCTGTTATCTCTTTTGTTCTAGGCTTTGTACAACATTTATACAAATGGAATTTGACTTTTGTCAATTTCATGAAATCTGTAATCTCCTAAAAAATTAGGAGCTAATTTATTCTATCCTAAAATACAATAGGAGTAAATTATTTTATCCTAAAATAGAGCAGAAATCATGGGATATACATAGAATTTATAGCTGTACAGAAAAGATATTCTAGATTTTCAACAATAATTTAAAGTTTCCTCGAGTTTTCCTTTCTGTCCTAGAACTCTGAACTCAGCATTACTCTGGTCAAAGCTACATTATTGTTGTAGATGAATTTTGCTTTCAAATCCTGCATAAACTCAATATGCGTAACCAATAGGACATTCAGGAAGACTAATTTGATAAAACTAGATAGTATTTTCAGATGGGAAAGTGAAGGACATCTCTTTCTTCCAGCTAGCAGAAGAAAAAGATAAGCTAGCAAGAAGTAAGAAAAGAAAAAAAATTTTGAGCTGGGGTTAAACAGAATCAAATAAATTAATCACAAGTGTGATTAGGTTGCTTGATTGCAGCACCCACTAATTGACTCTAAAACCCTTTTTAAGCATGACCATTTTAGAGACCTCAAAAAATTATATTAATGAGAATATTTTAAACTGGAAAAATGAATGCTATGAAGACAAGGAATCGAGCATAGTTAGTTAATGTGTGCATCACCTTTTGGAAAAGTATAAGAAGTCTATTGGACTAAAACCTGGTGAAATTTTCAGTAGGAGTGTCTAGTAAAGTTGTGGATTATGTCTTAACAAAAAATAGCAGGTCTTATCTTTTCCTTATAACCATATCCTTTCTCATATCTGTATCAAATATTAGACTCGGTTGAGATTAAATAGCACACTATAGGTCTGGTGATAGGCTTTGGTTTAGGCTTTGTACATAATTTTGGTGATGTCTTTGTGTGCTTCTTATGGCTTTACAAAAGATGTAGTAGTTCTAGGGTCTGAGAAGAACTGGAGCTTGGACAGTAACTTTATGTTGATGACGACCTTAACTATATCAAGTACATCTTTTAATCTTCATTTTTTTTTGGTCAGACATTTCAGAATTACGGAAAGTAGCATTCATTCCAGCGGCAAATGGCACCGTTTAGTGACAGCTGGTGCCCTTTTTGCACGACTGACAATTAATCTTTCCCCATTTGCATTTGAACTTCCTGCACTATATATTCCATTTGTAAAGATATTGAAGGACTTGGGACTTCAGGACACATTCTCTATTGCTGCTGCAAGGGATCTTCTATAAATCTTCAAAAGGCTTGTGGTTATCAACGACTGAATCCAAATGAATTCCGTGCTGTGATGGAAATTTTGTATTTTGTTTGTGATGAGGCAGTCTCATCAGAAGCGTGTAACTGGGGATCTGAGGCTATTGTGCCTGATGATGGCTGCAGACTTGTTCATGCAAAGTCATGTGTTTATGTTGATTCTCATAGTTCCCATTTTCTCAAATACATTGATGTTTCCAGGCTGCGATTTGTTCACAGTGACCTCCCTGAAGGAATATGTATGGCCTTGGCCATTAAAAAGCTTTCAGATGTGGTTGTTGAGGTATAACAATTTTTTTGAATTCACATATTGTTGAGTTACTTTAAGTTTGGCATGTTTCTCTAGTGTCTGTAGTTCAAATATGTGCTGGGAAAAAGCTTTTCTCTCTAATGGTGTATTCTTTCATCTCGTTTTAGAACTAGATACCAGGGAAGATCTACAGACTTTGCAGTGTATTCAATCACTGCAACTAGAAGAAGTAAAACACAGGTTATTGAGTAAATCATTTCAAGCTGCCTTGTGGACCATCGTTGGTAGCATTGCAAGTGAAGTTCCTGCTTTCAACCCCGTTCTTCAGAATGTACAGAGGTCCCTTAAAATGGTTGCAGAAAATTTGAAGTTTGTTAAATGCTTGTACACCAGTTTTTGCTCCTTCCAAAGCGCTTAGATATTACTCATGTTAGTGAGGAAATCAATGGTTCCAGAGTGGCAGGAAAGATCACTGCATCGGGCCCTTTATTTTGTTGACAAGTTTGAAACTAGTGTCTTAGTTGCCGAACCACCAGATTATGTCTCTGTTGTTGATGTCATTGGAATTGTTGTTAGCCGGGTTCTAGACTCCTCAATTTCACTGCCTATTGGATCTCTGTTTCTGTGTCCTGAGGGCTCTGAGATGATACTAGCCACAGCCTTGAAACTTTGCCTCTCAAAAAAAGTGGCTGAGCAAGGAAATGGAACAGATGAGTTGATGGGGAATGATATACTGCCCAAGATGCACTTCAAGTGCAACTTCTCCCGTTAAGGCCTTTCTATAGGGGCGAAGTAGTGGTATGGCGATCTCAAAATCGAGAAAAATTAAAGTATGGCAGGGTTGCTGAGGATGTAAAACCTTCAGCAGGTCAAGCACTTTACAGACTTAAGGTGGAAACATCTCCAGGGATAACTGAACTTCTTCTTTCTTCACACGTTTTCTCATTCAGAAGTGTTTCAGTCAGCAGCGATGCTTCTTCAGTAACTAATCTGGACGATCACCACACTGAAATTGAGAGTGGCATTGTTGGATCTAGCAGAGCCATTGCGAGATCTCATGGGGTATGAGCCTTCTTGTTTGCAAATTACATTTGTGTTCCTTGATATGATAGAGCAGCCCACTAAAGCTAAAGAGGATGATAGTAGTGGATCAACATAGCTAATCTAATTTATGAATTGCACTTAAATATGCCTCTTTGCATCAAGGAGTATAAAGAGTTAAGCATAGTAAAGTTTAAAATGAATCATAGGCACTGTTCATTTATTCACCAAACCTTCTGCTAATGTCATTTGTTGTGGCTAGACTAAAGCATGGTTTCAGATCAATGCCAAACAATTCACCTTACTAAAGCTAAAATTTACTAAGAGAAGGTGAAGTGCTAACCAAAGGTTTTGCTATCCCTGTTCTAGTTCTTTTCTACAGTATTAATCCCATCTTCTTGTACTGAATTAAATTGAAGTTCCATCAATTTATAGGCATGAAGCCACTGTGGCCAAATTCTTTTCATGGCAAGATGCTGCTGGACACTGTATACAAGTCCATATCATACAACTTTCTTTAGTTTTATCATTGGGCATGTTCCTCGAATTCCTTTCCCCTCACTTTAGGTTTTGCATCTCATGCTAGCTAAAGGGTTCATTTTGCTTGAGTGTCCCCTTCCGATAAGGGAAACGAGCGAGTGTGGCTACTCGATTGCCTTAGCACGCTAGTTTTGCCTTCTAATCAAAGGGAAAATAGAAGTCGAAAAGTTAGGAGTCAACCCCCGTACCCGACTTGTTGCATTCCCCTAGGGTCATACTTTCATTTTTATCACATCCATACATTTTTAACCACAATTTTGCACATTTCTCAAAACCATACTTTCTTACTACATTTTACCTATCACTTGCTTATTTTCACTTCACAAATGAAATTCCACTTTACCTTATATATCTATTATTCTATTTTCACACACTTGCACACAAACACTTGGATTTTTTATACAATTTCACACATGCACCTTTTTATACACTTGCACACTTGCACTTGAATCATCATTTGCATTAATCGACCTCTATAAGGTTTTCTTTCATTGGCCGCCACAATTCATGTGGTTGGGACCAAAAACCTTGCAAGAGACATCTTAGAATCTAGGGTTTTGCATTTCATGTAGCACATCCAAATGTAATAAATTCTTTGGTTAAAACAAGAAAATCTTTGATTAAATCAACGCAACTAGCCTTGGCTAGGTCGAAGGGGTGCCTCGGATTTTTATCCTTGCCTTCCCCTTCGTCAAATGTGACTCCCGAACCTTTTTCGTTGGTTTACGTGGACTAGGAGTCGTTCAAAAGGGTTTTCTACTTTTTTTTCTTTAAAAAATTCACTTTTTGGGTGACTTGGTACACCCTAACTCTATACCAAGTGGCGACTCCATTTCTCATATAAAAAACCCTTTTTGAACTATTTTTTTGGGTCAAATCGTCGCATTTTCAAAAGTCCCATTTAGACCCATTTTTCCTTTTAAACCACAATTCATTTTCCAAATTACAATTTGAATCAAAAACACATTTTAAACCATATTTATTTATTTCATTCAAAAAAATGGGGCGCGACACAATCGATTCTAATACACGAAACCTCTGCTCCTAAAACCGCGGCACCTTATACCATTACCTCCATTTCACATCTTAAACCACGGCACCACAATACTTCTTAATATCACTCAATCCTTTCTCATATCACTTACCGCAAACCATATACCTCTCTTTCCATTTCATATCTCAAACCGCCATTCCATTTCTTTGCACAAATTCCCCTCAGACCACAACACACTCCATAACTCCATCCAGTTTTCGGACTGAGAGCAAAAGAGAGGGAGAGACTCACCTCATGTGTATCGAAGAGGAGGAAACCGCGGCTGCCAAATTCTCTAGTTCTGTCCGTGAGCTGGAGTGAAACCAGGGATAAAACCGTGAGTGAGCTTCATCATTCTGCACCTCCATCTCGGTCAGCTGCAACCAGTTTCCAGCCGCAACTACCACAACCAAAACTTGTGCGAGCCGAGAGCCGAGAGGGTGAACAGGAAAATTTTCAGATTTCTGGTGAGTGAGCTGCAGTCTGAGGTAACCTCTGAGCTAGATTAAACTAATTAGAGGTTGATTGAGTTTATTAGGAGCATGCATGTAAAGCTAACCGATCGGATTATGAACTGGAAAAAAAAAAAGAAGAAAAAAAAAAAACTGCTGTACGAAGGGACAAATTCTGGCCGTGAGCTGGAATCAGAAATGCAGCTCCAATATTTTTTCACCCTTAGCAATCCGAGCACCAAGGGCAATTAGCCGTGTGAAAACTTGATGTTTAAGACCATGCATGTTGATTTGTGCATTCGGATGATAATGTTAAAGCATAAGAGGAAAATTCTGTTTGAGAAGAAAATGCTTTAGCCGAGAAACTGGTTTGGAAAGGCAACTTTAATGTTGTTTCCCTGAAGTAATTTGAGCATGCAGTGGTGATTAACTAATTAAATCTTGGATGATTAATACGATTAGGGCCTTGCATGATAATTTTATGTAGTTGGATGATGTATTAAGGAGCTTAGGAAAATTCTGTGTTGATGAATAGTTTCTGCCGAGAGTCTGCCTTGAATAATGTAGCTACATTTGGTTTAAACTTGTTGCTTTGAGCCTATAACCTTAACTAACTAGCTAATAACAAGATAATTGAGCTTTGCATGTGGCTAATTAGCTGGGTTAGAACCGAAATAAAATCACAATGCAATCAGTCTTCATGCCACAACAACCGAGGTTTGAAGCTGGAAATTTCTGGAAATTTTGGAGGAATTTTGTAGTTAATCGAATTTAATTCCTGAGTTAGATATGTTAATTAATTAGTTAAGTGATGGCATATTGAATTTAAGAACTTAAAACACTGTTTTAGCTGAGGAAAAATTTGATCCAAGATAAACGAGCTGCTAGAAAATTTAACTAGTTGAGGACGGATTTATTGTGGTTCCTTGGCTGGATCGTTTACCGGAATTAAGTGTTATTTGCCTTGGTATATGCTAGTATGAATGTCATACGTAAATGTATGGATGGTTTGAATAAAGGTCTTATGGTTTTAAAAGAGAAAAAGGAGTCTTTCACAAGTGAAAAACTAGTTTTCAGATTTTCGGATTTCACTGACCAGTCTCAATAAAATGTTTATATCTTGGTGTAGGAAAATCCGTTTAAGGCGCCGTCAGTGGCATTTGAAACTAGAATCATAGGCCTTTGTCCTGTAGAAATTTCGTATTTTTCCTCCATGTGTACTGCTATCTGTGAATCCTCAAAGTAGACTGTTTTGTAAGAATGTCCTGTTTCTTCGTGAAACTGAAATTGGGTTTGGATCGAACTTTTAGCTTACTTGTGGTTTAAATTTTTGATTGAATTGTGGTTGGAAGTAATTGGTGTTGTCAAGGGCTAATGATTGACGAAGCCCTTGGCCATTTGAATAATTTTATAAGCATTACTGGGTGATGAAATTTAATTGCTGGAATTTCTTGGAGGCCTTACCTTTATTTTTATTTGTTTAAGATGAGCTTGCTGAAACCAAGTGCTAATGATTGATGAAGCCTTGGTCATTCATTTTATTTTTACCAGAAATGCATTTGTTGAAATCTAGGGCTAATGATTGACGAAACCCTAGTGATTTGCTATGTGATTTTGCCATATTTGATCCATAATATGATTTCGAAACGGAATCAGAGCTGTGGAAGTCGTTTCTACCTTGCGGACTCGGGTAACTATGATCAAATTAATCAAAAATATTTTCCAGTTAGTATTAAATTATAAAACTCAATATCTAGTGTTTTGCCTAAAACTTTCCAACCCGATAATTTCCTTTAGCTCAAACTAGCCTTGATAGCTATAGTAAATAAATTCTATAGCTTTTGAAAACCCTAAATCTTATTTTAATTCCTTTCTTTCATTAAGTATTGCTCTTGGCTAGTTAACTATAGGAAAAGTTTCAAAATACGAGTTTTATTAATTTTAGTGAAAAGCATGGGAAACTTACTCGGCAAGAAACCTTATTCTATGAAAAATAGTTTTAGTAACAATTTTGCAAGAACCATAGCTTTAAAGAAATGTTCAAAGTAATTTCCTAACGTAGACATTAAGAGGTTGGTCGACTTATTTCAAGAAAATAATACTAGTTACCCTTTTATAAGGAAAAGTATCTTAAAGAAAACTATAGGAAACATTTCTTCTACTTTTGTCAAGTTTTAACCTAAGGGACTCTTGATTTTTCTAAGGGAAAGTGAACTAGTAGTATATTAGATATACCTCAATGTCTATAAGCTTAAAAACTGAGTAAAAACTTATAGTTTCAAATTTTGGTTTTTAGGATACTGCGAGGACACGGAATTCGATTCCCAACTTGATATCTGAACTCCACTCTTG